TGAAAAGTTTAAAAATCTTGCTCATATGTTTGTTTTTAGTAATATATAAAATAAGTCTTATAATCTGTTTCTAGCAGAAAAGACTTGCCCATGCCAAGCAGTATTGAAGGCAATTTGTGGTACGTTGTGTGCTTGAGTGAACTGCTATACTGAGAGCTTAAAGCTGAATTCCAGGCAAACAGCTAAATACACAGAGGAAATGTATATATATGTGGGAGCTGTTTTACCTGCCAAAGGATTTATATTTTCTCCAACTATTCCTGTGAATTACAAAGCTCCCTCACACTGCACAGTCTGGTTGATGATATCCCATAGAGTTATACAGAATTAATCCAGCTGTATGCCTTTGGAGTTCTTGCCATAATGTGAAAATATTCATAGCATACTTGCACATTATGGGAGAGTTACTCCCTGATATGCCCTGCTCCACTGAGGTGAAGATGTGTTCTGTGTCTACTGCCACTGCCACTGCCATCTTTTCTTGGCCTTCTATCATCCATCATTGGACAGCAACTTATGCACTCTGGAGTGACATGATCCACAAATGCAAGCTAGCAAAACATTGTCCTACCATTTAGGTCCATTCTCAGTATTTTACAGATCTAAAACATTAAACTATGACAACTAAACATTGCACTATGCTGTGCTATAGGCAGTGTACACTAAGAAAAAAATTTGTTGCAGACAGGTAAAGCAGTTTTTTGGCTGGCTAAAGAGACATATGCAGTCTGTTCTACAAAAAAAAAGCTGTATCTGCTATAGTTTTTTTTTTTTTTAATTTTTGTTCCATTTTAAGGAGTACAGTGGTTTCCTTTCATCACACCCAGCCTTTTTAATAGACAGTAAAAGAGCAGCAGCAGGTTGATGAGATCAACCCTCTGCTGCCTGCTTGCAACACAGAGCATCGGAGAGAGAAGAACAGCGCTATCTGCGGGTAAAGCAAGAAATAAGTATAAATAAAACTCTCTTCTTCTTCTTTTTCTGTACCCCCTAGACAAAAAAAATTAAACATTTAAATCCTTACTGTGCATGGGGAATCGCTCTACAAAGGTAACTTTCCATTTTACTCAGAATTCTGTTTTATTTAGACAAGTCTATATACATATAAAAAAAAAAAAAGTAGCAACATTTATAAGTACCATTTAGACTTTGCAGGCAATGCAAGATTAATTGAGAACATATCAGATAGAACAGTTGCATATCAGCCACTGAAAAGTGCCATAGAGGGATAGTGTGCTTACCATTTCTAGTTTATCACTGGTTGCCGTCATGATAACCATGTTCTGTGCCTTTTTCCCATTAATCCTGGCAGTTGTTAATGAAGCTCTTTACCCTGGGCATCAGGCAATATGATTGAGAGTTAACTCAGTAGTTAGTGCTGGGTAGGCTTAGGTTGGATCATGATGCCAGGCTAGAACAACGTGTCTACTCGCATGGCTCTTTAGGCCACCACTCTGCCATATGGACATTTAATAGGTTATCGATTCTTATTATTATGCACTATGAAGCTAGAAATATCTTGTAGATTTTGCTTCTTCTTTTGAAAATATTTCGATTTGTTTTAACTTCAAAGAATGTTATGTTGGAGAATTAATATGATAACGTCTGACCTTTTACGGTCAGCGAGATTTAGACAGCATTGTTTGAGGTCTAATTTGTCATAATTTTACCTTCATCAGAATATTTAGATCAAATAAATGTTGAAGTATGAAATGTGAAAGGTCACCTAGAATGCTGATATTAATGGAGGTCACTATTTTAACTACTTTTGAGTAAAAACTATTTGTGACCTTCCAGCTGGATAATAGCTTTAATGGAAGCATGCTTGATATAGTGATATCTTGATATATCCCATTACTTTGGTTAAAGGTCTTTTCAGTAAAAGGTTTCAGTGGCTGTTTGGGTTCATTTAGCTAAATGCTGCTACAATCAGTTGTGCGGGTATAGGAGTGAATCATAGTTCTAGACACAAGTGAAGAATATATAATACAACTGCTGGAAGGCGAAGAAGAGGTGTTTACTACAGCACCCCATAAGATACAACTGCCATTTTCTTTATGCAGCCTAATTGTGAGCCCCACAGCATCAACTCATGAATTTATAATTACCTTCTGACACATTTTTCTTACTATATAATCTATTTGTCTAAAATGACTTGAATATACCTGAAGCTCCCCTATCTCTGACTCAAGAGACCCATACTAGCTGTTACCACTGTTACTCCTGTTGCTACACTAGAGGTCTCAACATAGAAGAATAAAGTGTGTGCATAGTGATTTTTTTTTTTTTTTTTGAAAAGTCAAAATGGCATTTGCACCATGCTGACCAGGAAACAGACTCCACCCTGTGTCTGAAAACTACATGAACTTGAAAATTTTTAAAAGAGATTTAAGACTGGAAATTTTAAAAGATCTAGAGTTTCAGTCATTTGTTGTTCTAAAAAGCTAATATATATATATATGTATATATATATATATATATATATATATATATATATATATATACTCAGTTATGAAGAACCATAATACTTTATGACTTTGTGTTACCTTTGTGTTTTGACCGAAACAGATTACACAGAAAATCCATCGGTCAGCCAGATGTCTCAAGTTCTAGATCACTCCAGGCCTCCCAGCCCTATTCAAATTGCAGGGCACATAAAAAAACAGCAAGCCTCATTTACTTAATTATTTCATTCTAAAATGGTGTGGATGCGTTTTAAGCTATTTTGTTTAAAATAAACCTAAATAACCACCAAACTTTTCTATATGGCGTGTTCTGGTTATTATTATTAATCATGAATAACTGTAGATTTTGAAGATTAGGATGGGAGGAATGGCTTTCTGGATTTTCACCTATATTTAGGGTTATACTGAGCTCAGGAAATAAAAGATGTTCTTAAATAATCTAGGTCAAATTTAAATTAATGTTAGTGATATCAATTGCTATATTTAATTACTGAATCATGTATTTTGTTTTAGCATAATACATTTATATTCTGTAAAGCAATCATACAAAGAAAAACATCACAATTACCGTATTTTCCAGCGTATAAGACGACTGGGCGTATAAGATGACCCCCTACTTTTCCTGTTAAATTATAGGGTTTAGGCTATACTCGCCGTATAAGACTATGAATTCTTATACTGTACCGCGCTCCAATATTATCAACCTTTTGTGATTAACCTTTTTTGGTTGTGTGAATTTCTTAATATACCACCTATAATCCAATCATTACTTACTTCTATGGTGCTTAAATATACAATTAACATAAATTAATTTATAAATATGAATTAGAAAATTATATGTGATTATAACAAATATTAATAAAAAATTAATGAAAAATTGGAATGTCAATTCTATGTGAATAAAATAATAACAAATTAATAAAACATAAAAAAAAAAAAAAAAAAAAAAAAAAAAAAAAAAAAAAAAAAAAGGGAAATGTCAATTATTTTCTTTGAATTTGAGATGGTGTTGTTATTCAATTTAGTTAATGTGATAAGTCTGTGTTGGCAGCTTGAACCTCTCCCTCGTCTCCTCTCTTTGTGCTTTCTTCACTGGCTGCTTTGTTTATTCCTCCATATACGGAACATGCAGAGAAGGGAAAAGAAAACATAGTGTCTTATCCGGGATATAAGTGATTTATTGCTCTTTGATCTCCCACTCACATTGTGTAAATGTAAATAACGCTTTGAATACAATGTAACAAGATCCTGCTTCAGACAGCCTGGCTGATGTGTTTGCTTGCAGTAAATATACTCGCCGTTCCTCTGTGGATGCGTGATAACGTCACCGCCCCTCCCCTACGCGTTACGCTACAGGGACTCGTAGCTTCCTCTGGGGGATGTGGATGTGGATAGTATAAGACTACCCCTCTTCCAACGCACACCAAATAAAAATTAAAAAAAAAACATCAGATTTGATTTCAATATGGTAATTTTAATTCAAATGCTTATGACATGCAGATACTTAGCAGGAAAACTGTCACTTATTACTGTCATTTTTTGTATTTGTACACAGGTCCGTGTGAGTGGCACTTGTCATTATTATCCCCTTGCATGATTTGTTTATTCATATTTTTTATTTTTCATATATTGTTGCTATTTTGTATTCACACTTGTGGGTTTCACAAGGTATTAGTTCCACATCAGTTTTTTGGACTGTCCTCCCCATGTCACTGTCCTCCCCACGTCAGCCCCCCCCCCCCCAGGTCAATGCCCCCCATGTCACTGTCCTCCCCATGTTACTGTCCTCTCCATGTCACTGCCCCCCAATGTCACTGTCCTCTCCATGTCACTGCCCCCCCCCCCCCAATGTCACTGTCCTCTCCATGTCACTGCCCCCCCAATGTCACTGTCCTCCACATGTCAGGCCCCCCCATATCACTGCCCCCCTCATGTCACTGTCCTCCCCATGTCACTGACCCCCCCAAATGTCACTGTCCTCCCCATGTCACGGCCCCCCCATGTCACTGACCCCAGCAGATGTCACTGTCCTCCCCATGTCACTGTCCTCCCATGTCATAGCCGACCCGTGTCACTGACCCCATCACATGTCACTGTCCTCCCCCATATCAGGCCCCCCCTCTGTCCTCCCCCACATGTCACTGTCCTCCCATGTTAGTCCCCCCCCCTCGTGTCACTGGCCCCCCACAGGTCACTGTCCTCCGTATGTCATGCCCCCCCATGTCACTGTCCTCCCCACATGTGACTGTACTCCCCATGTCAAAACCCCCGCCCCCCATGTAACTGTCCTCTCTCCGATCCACGATGCTCCCCAATACACATCTTTGATCCATCTTGCTGGAGCATCGGTGGCTAGTGATCCGCGGGATCAGCTGTGTGTGTAAGTGTAATCAGCGGTGCAGCAGAAAAGGGGTAAACTGTAGAACAGGGGTCCTCAAACTTTTTAAACAGGGGGCCAGTTCACTGTCCTTCAGGCCGTTGGTGGGCCGGACTATAGTTTAAAAAAAAAAACTATGAACAACTGCAGACACAGTACAGGAGATGACCAGAGACTGCAGACATAGTACATGAGATGACCAGAGACTGCGGACATAGTACATGAGATGACCAGAGACTGCGGACATAGTACAGGAGATGACCAGAGACTGCGGACATAGTACAGGGGATGACCAGAGACTGCGGACACAGTACAGGAGATGACAGAGACTGCGGACATAGTATAGGAGATGACCAGAGACTGCGGACATAGTACAGGAGATGACCAGAGACTGCGGACACAGTACAGGAGATGACCAGAGACTGCGGACACAGTACAGGAGATGACCAGAGACTGCGGACATAGTACAGGAGATGACCAGAGACTGCGGACATAGTACAGGAGATGACAGTACAGGAGATGACCAGAGACTGCGGACACAGTACAGGAGATAACCAGAGACTGCAGACATAGTACATGAGATAACCAGAGACTGCGGACATAGTACATGAGATAACCAGATGGACATAGTACATGAGATGACCAGAGACTGCGGACATAGTACATGAGATGACCAGAGCCTGCGGACATACAACGGCAGGGGGAATACTGGGCCGGCCGCTCCATAAGACGCACAGACATTTCCCTCCCCCAAGTGTGTCTTATGGAGCGAAATATATGGTAAATGCAGGACACCTTGTTGGGTCAGATCTGTGTACATTCTAAAGAGAGAGAGGAGGGGGATAAGGAGGGGAGAGAGAGAGAGGGGGGGGGGGGAGAGAGAGGGGGAGAGGAGGGGAGAGAGAGGGGGGGGAGAGAGAGGGGGGGAGAGGGGGAGAGGGAGAGAGAGGGGAAGAGAGAGGAAGAGGAGGGGGGGAGGGGGAGAGAGAGAGAGGGGGGGGAAAGAGAGGTTCCTCTGTACATCCGCTCCAGTCGCACATTCCTCGGTATATCCTGATGACTAATGTGAATACCATTCATTCCTAACGATCTTAGAATATGTCCTATAGAACTACTACAGCCCATGAATCACAGATCAACTTCTCAGGGGCAGGGCGTGGCCCTGGAACATGGAGGCGGGGATTCTTCTGTGACGCCAGCCGAGGCTTAGGGGCGCACTACTGCAGGCAAGGATGTGGCGGGGAAACCAGGGCGGAGTGTAGAGAGGCGGGGAGTGGCTGAGAAACAATAGGCGGGGTTTATCCTGTAGAGGATAAACTGGGGGAGTTGCAGCAGAGGCAGGTCGTGGCAGATGATTGAGGGGCGGAGTTTTCCCGAGTGTTAGAGATGGAGGCAAGGAGTGGCTGAGAAACAATAGGCGGGGTTTCTCCCAACACGTCGCCCTGTGGAGGATAAACTGAGAGGGTTTGTAGCAGAGAGGCAGGGTGTGGTGGATGATTGAGAGGCGGAGTTTTCCGTGACATGCGCAGATGCATCAGGGAGACACATCTTCATGGGGGAACTGATCTTGCCGCTACAGGGGAACTGATCTTGCCGCTACACTGGCTCGGAAGTAAGTGTCAGCACACCGTATACCAGCTTATAAGACAACACCCGGCGTATAAGACGACCCCTAACTTTTGAGAAGATTTTCATGGGTTAAAAAGTCATCTTATATGCCGGAAAATACGGTACTTACATTTTTGTAGTACAAATGGTGTACAATATAGATCTTGACAATGTCCACAAGTATAGTGACCTGAAAGGATTCTATGAATAACAAAGACTGCTAAACACGCAACATTTTTCACATTTTTACATTCCAAACACATACCAAAATAAGGAGAGAATAGCATATGCCAGCATGTTCCAGAACCAGGAGTAATCTTGAGTAGGACCTGTACATCACCTTAGGGATCTACATTATGTTATAGTGAATGGAAGAAAGAAAGAAACCCAGGTCTGCCAACACGTATTGATCACTACACTATTGTCTCAGAATAAGGTCTAGTTTGGTGTAATCAAAGAACATTTAATTTGCCCAGAGTGCCTTGGAGCTTGGCCATATCGTACCAGGATGTGTTTTGGAATATGGCCCTTACCTCCCTCAGCTGGCTGTAGTCAATTTATTGGTTCATTAATCTCTAGTACGCCACCTACTCAGCTAACCACATACAGTATACAATACAGTTATGGTAAGGTATTATTGCTTGACATACTGTATAGAATTACAATGTTAGTGGTTTTAAATACTGTAGATAATGGTTAATGGATAGGTCATATTTGTGAATAAGGTGCTACAGTGACTGTATCTCAATGTTGTTTCCCCCTCTTTAATTTTATTTTACCATATTGGTGATATTTGTACTTTTTTAATGATGTTAATAAAAAGTTGATTTTTATGCACATGTTAATCGCTTCATTGGGTTACCTAAAAAGTCAGTTATGTCATCCTATTGAATATAACTTTGTCTATATTTTGTGGTTACTCTATTACATTAGCCCATAGTCTTCTCCTGTGACTCCTAGACAATTTATTGGATCAGTAACCTGGTGTTGAAAAACTTTTTTTGTGCTTGCCAAAAGATATTTTGTGTCCAGCGTATCCAACAATAGAAGCTCAGACAGTATGTTGTAGGCAATCAGTTTTACAAAATTGCACTTTTTATATCTAGTGGGTAGTAGTGCTCCCATTCAGGACTGGGTAGATTCAGTCACCTCTTCCTCTAGGGCAATGTCATGGAATAAGTAGAATACTGGGTGAAGGGTTCTAGAATTTCTTCTGATCAGGCTTGGGGGGGGGGGCAAGACAAGAGAAAATGTTAAAGGCCTAGATGTGGGATACTGCACTTTGGACAAGAGGTTAGGCAGCCTGAGGGTAGGGACCTAAGATAATATTGATGGTGTGGTAGGCCCTGTGGATCGATTTAAATTGTAATTCTCTCTAGACCTCATTTATAACTGCCTGCCATAGGCACCCCCAACATTGTTTTCTTTAATAGCCTAAGTCTCCTCTGGGGATTGATGTGTCATCTGTGCTCATTTGATTATATTGTTAGTTATGGTTGCTGTACAATCTGTATGTTATTGGAAGTGTAAAGATTATAGTTTCTTAGCTGTGGAACTCTGCTAAAACAATCTTTTTGTTTAATACAGAGGCATACAGTATGTGTATCAAAGGTACCTTACTGAGCTTGTGGGGTAAATCACAAGTTACATTTACATGTTAGGGATCTGGAACTCACATGTCCATGACGGTAATCACACAATCTTCAAACAGGAAACAACTTAGTATCATTTATAGATAAAGAAGACATATAATTGTATGAATATAATGTGACCATATTCTCAATGGATGTATGAATGTATATTATGTTTGTGTATATTTCTGGCAGCAAACCCTGTTTTAAATTGAACCTTTAGATCAAAAAGACAAATAGAGAAAGGAAGTTTTTTTTTTGTTAAAAAGGTCTATTAATGCATATAGAGGCAGTAAAATATTACTGTGAAATGGCTTCTAGCAATTTGGAAGTGCCATCAATTAAAGTAATTAAGTAAAATAATGCATTTATATATCCTATAAAATCACTGCCTGTGGGATATTCAGCAAATGAGCATCAACATACGACAGAAAGATGTTATTACAGTGTTAAAGACTTCTGCAATGATTATGTTTGATTTATGGTAATCACAGCACTTACACAAAATATAATTTTGGCTTAGCAGATTGATGTTGCCTGATCAGAGTTCATTTTAGTACAATCCATTGCTTTTTATTCTTTTGTGACGTGTAAAAATAATTACCGGTAGCCAAAAAATGGATTAGCCATGTTTTGTGTTTCCATTGAATAACACTTATTTTATGTGGGTGCTCATACCTATGACTTCATGCCAGATTTCTAGAAAGACCACATAGGTCTCAACTAAGGTGAAAAAAGTTTCAGAGAGACAACAACCTGCTACTCACTTACTTCTAAGTCTGCAAATATAAAACAATAAGGAATAACTAAACTAATGTATTTTGGTACCATAAGGCTACATACAAATGGGTGATTATGGGCATACAGTACAGCAAATTCCTGCAGCAAGAATCAGCAGATTCTTGCAAATCCTGTAAATAACATTTTTGGGGGATACTTTAACTACTTCCCTAATGGGACATTTTTCTCCTGCATGTGAAAACCATAATTTTTGCTTGAAAATTACTTAGAACCCCCAAACAGCAAAGACCTAAAGAATAAAATGGTGAGGTTTTTTTATGGGGGGCAATTTTTTATATGACATGGCATTTGTGTATTGGTGTTTCAAACACAAATTTTGTGGAAAAAATACAATTTAATTAATTTTAGTGCACACAAACACAATACAATGCCCATTTTTTTTGTAAAATATAAAAGATGATGTTACACTGAGTAAACAGATACCTAATATGTCTTGCTTTAAAATTGTGTACACCCGGAGAATGGCACCAAATGACAGTACATAAAAATCTCCATAGGCGACACTTTAAAAGCCTTTACAGGTTGCCAGTTTAGAGTTACACAGGAGGTCTAGTGCTAAAATTATTGCTCTCACTATAACGTTCCCAGCTATACCTCACATGTGTAGTGCGAGCACCGTTTATATATGCTGCATGACCTACATATGTGTTTGCCTTTCGTTTATTAATTTTTTATTATTTTTACACTGTCCCTTTGCATTTTTTTATCACATTTATTGCTATCACAAGAAATAAAATCAAACCCTTGTGATAGCAATAAGCAGTGACAGGTACTTTTTACAGAGACATCTGCGGTCTATTAGACCCCAGATTTCTCCTCTGCCCTTAAAGTGATTGTAAAGGCTCAAGGTTTTATACCTTCATGCATTCTCTGTGCAGTAGTCCCCCCCCAATACTCACCTAAGCCCCCTCTCAATCCAGTGCTGGAGTCTCAGCCAATGAGGAGAGGGAGTCTCGGGATAGCTGACACTCCCTCTCCTCATTGACTGAGACAGCAGATAGAGTCGTTGTCTTCTGTTGCTGTCAATCACAGCCAGTGAGCCAATGAGAAGAGAGAGGGGCAGCCCCGATCGGCAACACGGTGTGTGAATGGACACATGGAGCAGTGGGTGCCCCCATAGCAGGAGGGAGGGGCCATGAGAGTCTGTGGGGCATTGGAGAAGAGGATGACCTGGACTGCTTTGTGCAAAACCACTGCACATAGCAGGTAAGTATAGATGTGTTTGGTAAGCACTATGGTAAGCCAGTGGAAGCACCAACTTTAGTCTTGGGCTCCCTGATGGGACGAGAGAGCCCAGGAAGGCACCGAGAGAGAGTTGGGAGGGGGGACACCCCTGTCGCTGCTTGAAAAAGCAATCAAGGCACTAACTAGCCACTAGGATTGCTTTTACATTACAGAGCATCCACTGGCTAAAATAATATACCAGGATGATCCCTGTAGCTGACGTCATCATCCCAGTATCTACACTCAAAGTCCAGGATGTCATATGACATTTTATGAGGGGGGGAAGTGGTTAAATCTGTACATGGCATTATGGAACATTACAATTTACACAGACAGTCTCAGCGTCAGGGTTCACTGGTTCAGCGCAAGCATGTAGAATAGCAAAGAAATCAAGCACAATTCTATAAAATATAGA